GGGTTAAGCTCTTCACAGGCCCTGATTGTGTGATTAATGGGTGTTCTGGGCTTGTTGAGTAAAAGGAAATGGCACACACAGTAACAACAGCAGGGGACCAACACGTGGTGGAGGGCTTGTCTTCACTGGCCAGGAGTGAGTCTCAAGACAACAGGAGCCTAGAAAAGCTTTAGACCAAGAGTGGCATACTTTAAGAAGACCAATTTGGTAGCGGCTGCATACAAAAGGATTTAAACAATGGAGGTGGAAAGATTATAGTTAGATTACAAGGAGATAACATTATCAGATTGGCAAAGATCCGGAATTCCGATAGCAGGTTGTGCTGATAAAGACGGGAGGGTACAGTGCTCTTGCAGCACGGGTAAATTAACACACCTCTTAGGAACACTACTGATATCATAGTCTATAGACGCTCACAGCTTGTTGACGCAGCAACTTCCATCCATATGTAGCCTACAGAAGGGCATTGCTGAGTCATTTCTACACAAGGATGTTCATTGACAACTTTTGTTTTCAGACAGGATTTCTCTGTGTAGCCATGGCTGTCCTGCAACTCACTCTGTAGACCAGGCTGGCCTTGAACTCATGAGACCTACCTGCCTCTGCCTCCAAGGGCAGAGATTAAAGGCATGCACCACCATGGACCTGCTGGTCACCTGCAAGATGTGGTAGTGTACTCGGGAGCTGCTGGCAAGCCAAGCTCAGCTTATTGACAAGACTAATGTTTATTAGACACTGATGAAATGAGTCATAGGTTCCGTGTAAACAAACCCACTTGATATATACAGTCATATGAAAGACCTCCATGTATAAACCGTAACAAGGCAAGGGGCGTGCATCCACTGGGACTCAGGAAGAAAAGGCTATTCAGTATAGCATGTTTACAAATGTATAGACAAAATACAAACAAAGACCCACAGGGAGATTAGTTTTATACTAATTCCCCCTTTTATTGTATGCATATGAGTGTTTTGCCTGCATGTAAGCCTGCACACACTTGCAGGCAATGCCCACAGGCCAGAAGAGAGTATCAAGTACCCCCTTCCCAGCATTGGAGTTACAGATGGTTGTGTGGGTGCTGAGGATCTGAAGTCTCTAGAAAGGAAGACTGGCAATGTTTTAAAAATATTAAGTATGTTAATGGGGTGCTAGCTAGATGCTCAATGCTCATCTGGTGATGTTTAAAGCACAGCCATAAGATCTGAAATTGGTGGAGGTCACTCAGAGGCATAGAGGGCTTGCTCAACAGCAGGGAGAGCTCAGCCAATATAGCTGGGACTAAGAGCTCAAACTGTCATTCTGTGGCCTATTACAACTTGCTGGTTTGTGGTAGGTGTGTTGGCAGATGCTTGTATTATTAGCACTGGGGAGGTTGAGGCAGGGAGACCAGGAGTTTCAGGATAGACTGGGCTACACGGAACCCTGTCTGAAGGAAAAATAAGCTAAAAAACTAACTGACAGACTTCTAAGGTCTAAGGGATTTTTCAAGGCATTATTTAGCATGTTTGGTGTGAGTTCTCTGCCTGCCTGTTAAGGCCAGAAGCATCTTCCCATCTTTCTACCAGTTTTTGAGATGGTGGTCTCTCACAGAACCTAGAGTCTTTTTTGCTACATTAGTTGGCCATGAGCCTTTGATCCCTGTCTCCACCTCCCCTAGCACTAGGGTTAAAGGCAAAGGACTTAACTTTTACATGGGTTAGGGTTCTGAACTTGGGTACTCAAGCTTGCAAAGCAAGGACTCTCCCCACCGAGCCATCTCCCCAGACCCAATATTTTATTTTTGTTGCTGTTTTTCTTTTCCTAGCAGTAATGAAGATCAAATCCTGCCTACCCAAGGACTTACCCAATGCCAGAACTGTACTAAGTGTAGTGAGTCTTCCTGTAAAATCTGTCCTCAAAGAATTGCCAAGACCATTAGCGTATGCTACTGGAGTTTTGTCTCCTGCAGGCTATCAGTTTGTAACTGAATGCACATGACTGAGAGATTTATGACACCTGTGTGTCTGCTGTCTATCAGAGGCATTGCTTCTGAGTGACTGACACTATTGGTGTTCCACCCCAAGGCTAGTGGGAGAGATTGAAAATCTGGCTCAATTCTTACCATGGGTCAGGATTTCACTTACCCAAGAAGCTACTTTAAATCCTCTCTATAGAGAGACAGAACATTATATATATTTTAAACATAAGTGTGTGAGGCATTTCAGTATCTTAATCCTTGAAGAATAATTTTTTTTTTTTTTAATGCTTGTTAAAATCTAAAAAACATGTCCTAAAACTAACTTCCAGGCCAGGTATGATGGTGCACACCTTTAATCTCAGCACAGGGAGACAGCCAGGTGATCTGAGGACAGCAAGGGTTCTAGGGCCAGGGTTGCAATGAGACCTGTCTCAAAAACACAACAAAAGTTAAGTTTTACACTTAAAAATGCTGGACAGTGGTTTCCAGAGCAGAACAGGGTTGTAACTGAGGGTATCAGAGCAAGTGGAGTAGTGGGAAAATTCTAACTCAGCTAGCAGCGTAATAATGACCAAGGACTCAATCTGGCCTGTGTCCAGAGCCTTCCTTCCTACTCCAAGCTCAGTACTCAGTCTGCTGTTAACATGGAGTCTCACTGGGAGTGCAGCCTCAAGCTCCAAATCCCAGCACATAAGAGACTCAAGTGGAAGGGTCAGTGTTCTGAGACCAGCCTACAGAGAAAGTTCCAGACCTGGGCTAGCATGGAAGCTGACCTTTAAAAAAATGATGGGTCGGGTCTGGAGAGATGGCTCAGAGGTTAAGAGTATTGACTGTTCTTCCAGAGGTTCTGAGTTCAATTCCCAGCAACCAATGGTGGCCCTCAACCATCTATAATGGGATCCGATGGCCTCTTCTAGCAGGCATTCATGCAAACGAACTCATATACATAACATACATGAATTAACCTAAAAAGTCCACACTAGTCTCAGATTCCAAAGCACATCATGTAAGCTGTGACTTTATGCCAATTACACGCTTTCTCAAGTGAAACATGGCGCCAACAGGAACTGCTTCATAGGTTTTGGCGCCAACAGGAAGTGCTTCATAGGTTTTGAGGGTTTAGTACTAATGCAAGTGTACAAAGGGTGTGTGAGCTGGGTGTGGTGTCAGGCAGCAACACTGGGCATCTCTGTGAGCTGTGCACACTAGGGCTGCACACTGAAACCCTGTCTCAACCAAAAGAAAGAAAGAAAAAGATGGAGGGAGGAGGGGCAGTGGCCATTTCAGCCTTAGAGCTGAAGGCTCAACCTCATCCACTCAAAACTTCGGACCTAACACAACACTGCATTCCAAAGCCGGGGAAGAAGCCTTTATAGCCCTGCAGAGAAATGGAGGGGCAAACCTTTAGTGGGGGAAGCGCAGGCCTGTTAATGGAGCTTGTACAGGCTTGCCACTCCATTTAACCGCCCACTAATGGAGTTCTGACATCCCTTATTATTTATTGAAGACCTACTTTATTACGCTCTGTGGTCAACTATAAGAACAGCAAATCCCTCAGAGTCCAAACGTTCTTCAGACTGTCATACTCAAAGGAAGGCAAGCAAATGTCATCGAAGTAGCAAAAGCCCCCGTTAGCTGTCATGAATTTAATGGAACTCACAAGTAGGAAAGTTTCAACAATTTCAGGCCCCTAGTATGGGAAACACAAACAATGTGACAACATGAAGGAAACTGAATGGGATGTCACTGAGTGTGGCTAATGCTCAGTCCCACTGGATGTCCCGTTCCTCTTCAGGGAGAATACTCCAGTTTGGGGAGGCCACATCTCGGGCCAGCCAGTTGAAATCGTCAACGTGGTTCCAGTTATTTCTGCTCCTATCTAACCCGGAGTCCTGGAAGTCCTTGTCGATCCCCAGGTAGTTCCAGGTGTAAGGGGCGAACTGGATGCCGCTGCAGTCCTCCACGATGGCCCTGCTGGTCACCTGCAAGAAGATGAGGGTGTCTTTGGTAGTGTGGACACGGAGCTGTTGGCAAGCCACTGCCAGTATGCAATCGCGACAGTCCTCCAGGAACACAGAGGTAGACACCGGGCCGCAGAGGACCTTGCAGCCGCGGGCCTTTGCCAGCCGCAAGGTGTTGGGATTGCCAAGCAGTCTGACGGTGCAGTCGGTCAGGTCGCTCAAAAGGATGTCGCGCTGGCGCAGCTCGTCGGCTCTCTTCTCCAAATCTTGGGACTCCAGGTTGGAGAAGCCACAGGCCCAGCTGAGCTCGGGAGCTCCCTCCTCCTGGGTCAAGGGCGGCGAAGGGTTCGCCGCGGCGAGCGGTGCGGCGTCTACCTGGGCGGCCCCGGCAGCATCCTTCTTCCGCGCCTTGAAGGCGAAGCGCTTCTTGGGCTGCAGCTCCTGGCGCCGCTCGCTCAGTTCCGCCTGCAGCTGCGCCAGCGCCGCCTGGCCCTGCCGCAGGTCGTAGGCGGCGAGGAACAGAACCGAGTCGTTCAGGAGTTTCCGCAGCCCCTGCAGCCGCTCGGCCGCCTCTTCCAGCCGCTCGGCCGACGCCGCGCCCCGCAGCAGCTCCTCGGCCGCCGCGCGCTCCCGGGCGAAGGCGGCGGCGAAGAAGCCGCTCTTCTCCTCCTCCACCTCCTGGCCCTGCCGCTTCTGCTTGCGCCTCTCCACCTCCACCTGGCGCTCCTGCTCGCGCCTCTGAATGCGCTCGGGCACCAGGCTCAGGTCCCGCGGGGACCCAGGGGCCGCCTCGCCCAGCGCCGCCGAGCACTCCACACCCTCCATGTTGACTCCCTCACCCGCCGCCTCTCCTCCCGGCGCCCTCCGCAAGGCCGCCCACCAACGCGCCCTGTGATTGGTCGGCGGCGGTGACGTCAGATCCCGCCATATCCTCCTCGCCTATTGGTTTCTCCGCGTTGGAGGGGCGGGGGGAGGGCGGGGCCGGCTGACAGGAGGGGGTGGGGAGACAAAGGTCCTGGTGGATGGGTGGGGTGGGAGGCAGGCGGGTGAAGCTTTTTTTTTCCTCTTAAAGGGGCAGGACTTATATCCGGGATTGTGGGGTGAGTTGCAGCAGCGGCAGCTGCACATGTGGGTTTGTTTATAAGAACAAGGTTAGAAACTCGCAGGCCTCCCCCTCCCCCCAGCTCCTCCCTACTACCCCCTAACAGGCCGGAGATCTGCTACAGGGTGGTGGGGAGGAATGTGTGCTTGTGGTGGTGGTGGGGATAGGTAGTGCGAGAAAGATGGAGGGGGGGTTATTGCACCTCCCGGGCCGCGCCGGAGGAAGCTGCAGCTGGAACAGCTGGCCAGGGAGCCGCTTGCATGCCTCTGGTTTCTTCTTTTTTTTTTCTTTCCCGTTTCCCTTCCATCACCTCTTCGCTCAGCCGGTCCCTGCCACCCTGATAACCCTCATCCTTCCTGCCCTCCCCCATCCACTGCAGCTCCGCGCGGCCTGGGGGCGCCTGGGTCCCCGCGGGCAGTTATTGGGGCGGGAAGAAGGCGCGAAGCCCCGCGATGAGAGACTGGGTTCCTCACTGGAGCGGGTTCCGGGGTTCCTGGGGGAGTCTGAAAACAGATTAATATTATTAGTATTATTACTATTATTATTACTGGCCAATTGCTGCAGTCGGAGGGGGGAGCGGGGGAAATGACATGCCACCCCCACCCTCTTTCTCCCTAGTGCGGTGGCGGCGGCCACTCCCTGCGCAGCTGGCGGTCGCTGGCCGCGCGGGGCTAAGACCCCCGGCCGGGCGCCTCTACTCTCGTCACAGGGTCGACAGTCTTTAGGAGGGCGATGGGGAAACGGTACATTATTTCTAGAGGTGGTGGGAGGGATTTGTCACCGGAAGTGAACGAGCCTAGCCTAAAGTCCGGACCAACCCGAGGTGCGAGTGGGCAGCCAAGACCGCGCAGTCCCTAGCAGGAGCCCAAGGCGGCGGCTGCCAAGGACCCGGGGGCATCTTCGCATGCTGCCTTCAGCCACCGGGCCTCCTGGACCCGGGCAGCACATACAGCCCTCGGTTTCAGCCCCGTCTCCACCCTGGTTGCCAACCTCCATTTTTGTTCTTTTAATTGGGATTTTTTTTAATCGCAAAAAAAAAAAAAAACCTCACTTGAAATTTAACCCATATACCTGCGCTTTCTGCATAGAAAGATGCAAGGAAATGAGAGCCATTCAATTAAGTTGGAATTAAGACTTGAGTTCCAAGCCTCACATCCCACTCGTTTCCTTTTCTAACAAAAAACAAACAAAAAACCAAACCTGAAGCACAAATTCTTGATTGGAGAGAGCATTCCTCTACTGATTCAAGACAGGCGTCACTGGGTGGCAAATTCCCTGCGAGGTGAAGGGCAGGAGGGGACTCACTTGTTGGTGTTTTCATGTCTGTATACTTGACCACACATGGATGGAAAAGATGGTCACTCAGGCTAGCCGTGCAGGCGCCTAATTTTTGTTAGTTTTGTTTCCTGGGCAAGATAGGAGAGGCTTTTGTTTTCTACTTTTTAAAAGCAATTTTATTTCACAATTTGAGGCTACTGAAATATAGCTGATGACTTTGTTTAGGGATCCTAGGGAATGCACTAGCTTCTTCCTCTCATGATAGATTGTGTTTTAGATTTATTTATTTGCATTTTATATGTATGAATATTGTGTGTGGATATACGTATGTGCACCACGAGTGTGCAGTGTCTGTGGAGGGCGTCAGATCCCTGGAACTGGAGTTACAGGCAGTTAATGGGCTGCTATGTGGGTGCTGGGAAAGGAATTCAGGTCCTAGGAAAGAACAGCTACTGCACCTAACCCGAGCCGTCTCTCCAGCCCCAGATGAGAGACAGATAGATGTAACAAGACTGAAAGAAGACTGATTTTGCTACAGGAAACAACAACAACCGTGACTTACTTTGCTTTTGCTTCCCATTCTAATTAAGAAAGTTGGTGGCGGAAGGTTTCTTGAGCTTGGAGTTTGGGCTCTCTGAAATGGTGAGTCTGTCAGTGGTTCCAAGTGAGGACTCTGTGCAGAGTAGAAGTCGGTGTCATCAGCCCTTTCAGGATTGTGTTTCTGCCTATGTTTTTGCAGAGTTACTTGACAGGAAGGTGCTGAAAGCTGGCTGTTGTTTAGCTTAACGTTTAAGCGGGAGAGAACAAAGATGGAGGGTTGTGCAATTGACTCGGTGTGTTGGGGACAGTTTTTAAAAACTGGTGTGAGGTCTGAGAGGGATGTCTTGAAGTTGTCCTGGAGCACTGGGGTGGACGGGAACTTTTTTTTTTTTCTCTCTCTCTCTCTTTATTATGTATTTAGTGTTCTCTAGAACACCAGAAGAGGGCAGCAGGTCCCACCATAGATGGTTGTGAGCCACCATGTGGTTGCTGAGAATTGAACTCAGGGCCTCTAGAAGAGCAGCCGGTGCTCTTAACCCCTGAGCCATCTCTCCAGCTCCTGCTGTGAGCTTTTCTATCCTCTGGCTGGAGTAAGTAGCCAAGGCAGGTGTCTCGTTTCTGAGTTAAACACCATAGGAAGGCTGTTAAATGCTGGCATTGCCAGACCATGTTGCATCCTCGTTCTAACATTTGAGGGCAGTGGATTGAGGATGTGTCCCTGACAGAATCCTGGCTCATCAGAGGTAAGTGCCTGCCCTATTGGAAGGAAGGGGAGGTGTACAGAAGGGAGAGGGAGAAAACAGTAGCAGAAATCATAGTGTTAACTCTGTGCGCCTCTCAGGGACAGGCTGGTGAATCTTGTGGACATCTTGCAAAGTGGAAGGAGGATGTAAAGAGATAGGACCTTTAACTTTTGGGTTGTTTTTTGTTTTTTTTAGACAGAGTTTCTCTGCGCAGCCCTGGCTGCCCTAGTACTCACTCTGCAGATAGTCTGGCCTTAACTTAGATTTGTCTGCTTCTGCCTCCCTAGTGCTGGAACTAAAGGCATGTACCGGACTTCAACTTTTTTAAAAAATGAATGGGGCACCCACATATTCATGCCACACCGTGCGTGTGGAAGTCAGAGGACAGCTTTCAGGAACTGGTCCTCTCTTTCATCCTTTGTGTAGGCCCAAGCTCTAGGCAAACACTTGACCTGCTCAACAGTCTCTGTCCAACCTTAGCTTATATGTAACAATGGTTTGGATATTTTATGGTTCTCTGTGTTGGGTTAGTTTTTGATTTTAGATCTTTCTTTCCTTTTTATGTGTAAGAGTGTTTGCCCTGAGTGTATGTGCACCATGTGAGTGCAATACCCAACAAAGGAGTATGTTGGGTCCCCTAGAACCGGAGTTACTTGTGGTTGCAAGCCACTGTGTGGGCGCTTGGAATTGATTCCAGGTCCTCTGTAAGGGCAGCATGTACTCTAACCACTGAGCAATATCTCTAGTTCCTACTTAGCTTTTAATGCCTTAAGAATGAATCATATGCCAGGCTTGGTATCCCAGCTTGTAATCCCAGCACTCAGGAAGCAGAAACAGGTAGGATCAAGAATTCCAGGCTTGCCAGGCAGTGGTGGCGCATGCCTTTAATCCCAGCACTCGGGAGGCAGAGGCAGGCGGATCTCCGTGAGTTCGAGGCCAGCCTGGCTGGTCGACAGAGCTAGTTCAAGGACAGCCTCCAAAGCTATGGAGACTCCTTGTCTTGAAAGAAGAAAGAAAGAAAGCTAGGCTAGCCTGGGCTATATAGCAAGATTCTATCTTTTTAAAAGAAGAAACACATGGCATGTGTGTAGTTATATGCTTTGGAAAATAATAAGCAAATGGTGAAACCCTTAATTGGAAGGATCCTTGGTGTGTGCCCGAACAGCGCAGGAATGCAGCCTCTTGCTGCTCCGTGAGATTTATCAGGGGTGCTGGGTAGAGGGCAGAGGCCAGATGCATCAAGACAGAGCAGAACCCGGCTTTCTATTGCTGGAGAGGCCGTTCACCTTTTCATCTCTCAGCAGGCAAGCTGTGAGCACGTATGGGTTGTGAAGTGTTCACCGACAGAGATCTGTTCCTCTCTTATCAGAGGAGAGGCCAATTTTCCCACCTCTGATGCTGGCTTTTCTGGCACAGAAACAATGAAAGACGGCTGTGAGGGTATGGCCTGTTCTAAAAAGGCTCAGTGCTTATCATCAGGGACAGGACAGCCATGACAGCTGTTTCCTTCAGCTTCTGCCTCTCCTATTGTGTCTGAGGCAGACACCGCTCAGAACACTTATCTAGTCCCTGCTTATCAGAACGGACTGTGCTAGGGTGGTGAGATGGCTCAGTGTGTGAAGGGGGTGTTTGCCAAGCAACCCTGATGACAGCCGGAGCTGTGTCTCAGCCGTGTGGCCGTGGAAGGAGACACACTCCATAGAGTAGTCCTCTGACCGTTACACACTTCATACATACAGAAATACATACATACAATACAGAAAAAAAAAAAAAAGAAGAAGAAGGGAAGGGAAGGAAGGAAAAGAAAAAAGAACTGTGCCAAGCACTGAGCAGGGAGATCCCCAAGGCTGCCACGGTTATAAAGATGCAGTACTCTATGGGACTGCAGAGAGGGCCCAGCGCTTAGGAGTGCTGGCTGCTGCTCCTGAGGGTCAGGCAGCTCCCAGCACTCATGGCAGGCGCCTCACAACCACCTGTGTCTCTAGTTCCAGGGGATTGATGCCCTCTTCCGGACTGTACTTTGTGTGTGTGTGCGTGTGTGTGTGTGCACGCGCGCGCACGCGTGTGTGTGTGTGCGCGTGCCTGTGTGTGTATGTGTGTACTTTGTGTGTGTGCGCGCGCGTGTGTGTGTGTACCTGTGTGTGTATGTGTGTACATTGTGTGTGTGTGGGTGTGTGATGAGTGTCTGTGGGATCCTCAAAGACCAGAGGGTGTCAGTTCCCATTGTGGGTGCTGGGAATTGAACTCAGGTCCTCTGGAAGAAGAGCAAATGCTCTTAACTGCTGAGCCATCTCTTTAGCTCCGATTTTCATATGTCAGTTTTTTTGTTTTGTTTTGTTTTGTTTTTTGGTTTCTTGAGACAGGGTTCTCTGTGCCTTTGGAGGCTGTCCTGGGACTAGCTCTTGTAGACCAGGCTGGTCTCAAACTCACAGAGATC